TCTTACTGTAAAAAAACATTCTTTGCCTTAGATGAAATCTCCTTTCTTCAAGCCTAAATGTGTGACCTCGTGTCCTACGTATAGCCCTGTTTATGAATAGATTTCCAGATAATGGTTTGTACTGGCCCCGAATATATTTGTATAATGTTATCATATCCCCTCTCAGGCACTGTTTTTCCAAACTAAACAGATTAAAATTGTTTAACCTTTCTTCATAACTAAAATGCTCCATTCCTTTTATCAATTTTGTAGCTTGTCTCTGCACTTTTTCTAGTGCCATGATATCTTTCTTTAGAACAGGTGCCCAAAATTGCACAGCATATTCAAGGTGTGGTTTTACCAGCAATTTATAAAGAGGCAAAATTATATTTTCATCTCGAGAATTTATGCCCCTATTTATACATGACAAAACCTTACTGGCCTTAGCAACGGCAGATTGACATTGCATATTGCTGCCTAATTTGTTGTCTATAACAATTCCCAAATCCTTCTCGTGTGTGGTTATCCCTAGTTCACTACCATTTAGGGTGTAAATTGCTTGTGCATTCTTAACCCCGAAGTGCATAACTTTGCATTTCTCTACATTAAATTTAATCTGCCATTTTAGTGCCCAGTCCCCCAATCTATCCAAATCCCTCTGCAGCAAGGCAATATCCTGCTCACATTTTATTACTTTACAAAGTTTTGTGTCATCTGCAAACACTGACACATGGCTTTTCAAGCCCATTTTCATGCCCATTTCAAGATCATTTATAAATATGTTAAATAGAAGCGGTCCCAAAACAGAACCCTGAGGGACACCACTTACCACTTTTGTCCAGCTTGAGAATTTACCATTAATGACAAATCGTTGTACTCTATCCTTAAGCCAATGTTCTACCCAAGAACAAGAACATTCATCTAGACCAATTTCTTTTAGTTTGAAGACTAACCTATTGTGAGGAACCGTATCAAATGCCTTGGCAAAATCCAAGTAGATCACATCCACTGCAACACCCTGATCTATACTTCTACTTACTTCTTTGTAGAATGCAATTAGGTTAGTTTGACATGACCTATGTTTCATAAAACCATGCTGATTATTGCTAATAACACAGTTCTTCCCAATGAATTCCTGAATATTATCCCTTAATAGCCGTTCAAATAATTTCCCAGTCACAGAAGTTAAGCTCATAGGTCTATAATTTCCAGGCAAGGATTTTGAACCCTTTTTAAATATAGGAACAACATCTGCCTTCCTCCAATCCTCCGGTACAATACCTGAAACAAAAGAATCTTGAAAAATTAAATACAGAGGTTCACTTATTTCCCCACTTAGCTCCTTAAGTACTCGTGGGTGGATACCGTCAGGCCCCGGAGCTTTATTTACATTAATTTTCTTTAACAGCTGTAGCACCTTGTCTCGAGTTATCCAATCACAAGTTATCTGCAAGTTTGTTGCAGCAATCATGTGCTTATCTCTTGCCATAGGACCCTCATTAATATAAACTGAAGAAAAATAGTTATTTAAAATATCATTAGGAAACATACATTTAATATCATCACAAGTTACTTTTAATATATTTACATTTTTATTACTATTACATGCCTCCCCTGTTCTGATCTTGCTCCTCCCCCATCTCCCCCCCCCTTGTGCTAAGCTAAAGCCTATCTCCAGTGGCGGAACTACCGCGGTTGCAGGGGTCGCAGCTGCCGGGGCCGCACGTTCAGGGGCCCATCGGGTGGCCTATGCTATTAGGGCCACCAGATGGCTATGTATTTCCAGGAGGCTATGTGTGTGTGTGCCTGTGTGTATATGTGTATCTCTGTATATGTATGTGTCTGCATGTGTATCTCTTTGCATGTGTGGGGGGAGGGGGATGGTAGACGTATGGGGGGAGGGTGTTGGAGAGGTTGACATACTGGGGGGGAGGGAGGCCAGGGCAATTTTTGCACTGGGGCCCCGTGGGTTCTAGTTACGCCTCTGCCCATCTCCTTTCTATTCTATCTTCATTTTGTAGATTTCTGTGTCCCTTCCCCTCTACCACTAGTTTAAAATCTCCCCTAAACTGCTAGCCATCCTGTCCCTCAGCACTGCAGACCATATTCCAATAAGGTTCAATCAATCCATCACGGCTATAAAGATTGTGCCCAAGTGCAAAATCAGCCCAGTGCTCTAAAAAGCCAAAACCCTTCTTCCTACACCATGACTTTAGCCACGCATTAACCTCCCTAATTTTTCTACTGAAGTACAGGTAATATTTCATGCCAGACATGCCAGACCCGAGCACCGAGGAGACAGCAAACTGCCCGGTTGAGACAATCAGAGCGGCAGTTACCCTAACACATTGGTAGGGAATACAAAGTTAGATCATTCTCAGGTCCCTGCTATGGACATGTCCTACTTTACACATGGTGTAGTTTGTTTATGAATCTATGCTCTTTGTGACCAATTCATTAGGGCAACTTAATACAACATTCCCAGTTAACGTGATAATGCTAAACTGCAGCTTCTAATGCTATGAAAGCTACATCTTTATATCAGTGTTAATAAACACAATGTATCCAGTATTATAAACATAAATGGTAGAATTTACCCATAAACCACTGCTTAGCAAACACTTCCTTTATTACAGACCATAACAATATATACAGAATCGTACTGAGAATGACATTGGGTTTGGATGTGACCTGAATAATAATACTTTGTAACACAGTCTTTTGCTTACCATGTCTTTCTGCTGAATGCACTGAATTAATTAATATATTTTAATTGGTAAAGGCTTGCCAAGTCTGAGGCTTCTTGTTAATTGTAGATTAGGGCTGCCCACTGTGATATAGTGATCTCCTTAATGCAGCCATTCATATTGCCCAGTAAGATGTGTTCCTCTTATTTTACTTGAAGAAAGGACCATTCACCTTTTCAGTATCTTAGATGGACACATTTTATGCAGAGCACAGATTGCTTGCTATGCCACTCACTTTAAATGATTGCTATCTAATGAGAGTGAAAGGGTTAACATAAAAACACTCCCGGGTCATTTTGGTTTCTATATGTGTACGAGGGTATTAAAAAGAAAAGCATAGAGAGAGAATAGATTGAATAATGTTTTTCTGTCAAAATAAATAATTAAATAAATGAAATTGCCTTAAAGGACCACTATAGTGCCAGGAAAACATACTCGTTTTCCTGGCACTATAGTGCCCTGAGGGTGCCCCCACCCTCAGGGACCCCCTCCCGCCCGGCTCTGGAAGGGGGAAAGGAGTAAAAAGTTACCTTTTTCCAGCGCTGGGCGGGGAGCTCTCCTCCTCCTCTCCGCCTCCGATCCGCCCCGTCGGCTGAATGCGCACACGCGGCAAGAGCTGCGCGCGCATTCAGACGGTCGCATAGGAAAGCATTTACAATGCTTTCCTATGGACGCTGGCGTACTCTCACTGTGAAAATCACAGTGAGAAGCACGCAAGCGCCTCTAGCGGCTGTCAATGAGACAGTCGCTAGAGGCTTTGGGGGAAGGCTTAACCCATTGATAAACATAGCAGTTTCTGTGAAACTGCTATGTTTATAAAATAATGGGTTAACCCTAGAGGGACCTGGCACCCAGACCACTTCATTAAGCTGAAGTTGTCTGGGTGCCTAGAGTGGTCATTTAAATGTGCCTCTTGCCTGTAATTTGAGCAGGAAGATAAATCGATAAATTATGTTTATTTTTAATAAAATAAATACATGATTATTAAGATTTTTTTTATAAACTACGGTTATCATCACTTTATGAAAATTAGTAGATTTTGCAGGACATGTTTTTCTTTTAAAAGGAAAGCTATATGTGTTGCTTCTATTATTTATTTGGTGGTGACTTTCAGGTATTTTGTGCTGTTCATGCTGTTCTACACCAGTTTTTCAAATTGTGTGGCTGTTACCTTTAGTGTTTGAAAGCTATTGATATTGATATAATGAGAGGTCAATGGTATTCTGAAACCTCTCTGGGAATTGATGTACTTTTACATCAGTTACAGACCAATCAATAGGCAGTATGCAGAACGATCCTATACTCTGCAATTCATATTGACAACTATTCATTATTTTATATCGCGGGGCAGGTCCCAGCTGCATTCACCAACACATTATTTACTTTTTCTGTCATCTGACTAATGGTATTTAATGGATAATGCTTTGTGAAACCAATATCTTATAATTACAGTTTACAACGTGCGATTGTATGGTTTTACAGGAGTTGGCAATATTGTATACCGTGTAGCAGATCTGTTAAGACAGAATGCTTCTATCTGCCAATTGGTTCATGATATCGAGTGTGTAAGTCAGCCTCAGCCCTAAGTCATATGGTGCCCTTGTATTGCATGCAAGTATCATGAACTCAAACAGCCTGCAGGTGCAAGCATGTCAAATGTACTCATCTACCTATGTGTAATTCCATTAATGTTCAGTGTAATACCTTAGGGTAGTGTATGAGTTAAGAGAAGAACCAAATTTTAAGGGCAGCATTGGGATATGTATATATATTTATTTATTTGTAAATATAACAGTGTATAATATGTGTGTATCTGTAGCTTTAAATATAAATACATGTATCTTGCCCATGAATTCTCTTTTGATGTCAATACCCTTAAATGTCTGAATCAATAATGCAAATGCTGGCATTGATCAATAATAGCGTTGATCAATAATGCAAATTTAGTTTTTTGTGAGATAACAAATTTGAATTTGGATCCAAATGCAACCAATCTCAGTATGGATCATGTACAGTAGAGTCTCAAAATTTACTTTATCATTGGCACAATCCATGATCTGCCTGCTCTGATTGACAGTTTCAATATTAGTTCTCAGAACACACGTTAGTAAGGAGATATGTTGCAGCAGGTCATGTGTTGTGTACTTAGAAAACTGTAGCTATGTTTATAAGGTTTTTTTATGGTCTTTTTGTATAATAAATCACCTTTTTATTACTTCCGATTCACACAGGGAGGGAATCTCTTATTTACATTTCAGATATCTCTCTCTCTCTCTCTCTCTCTCTCTCTCTCTCTCTCTCTCTCTATAAATATATAAATATAGATATATATATCTACATAGATCTATCTATCTATCTATCTATCTATATATAGAGAGAGAGAGAGAGAGAGAGAGAGAGATTTTTGCCACCCAAATTAATGAATGAAAACATTTTTGCAATATAAAAAAGGGAAAAAATATATATTCTTTAAAGCAATGTTATGTTGTCTGGACCATTACATATGCCCACACATGACCACGCATTGCCCTTCAATGTGTCAAATATAAAGAGACAAATCAAATCTCAGTTTATTGAAAAGAAAGACTGGAGTCCGTACGCAAACCATAAAATACATTTAAAATAAATATATGAAAATAACTTTGGACTTTGGGTTTAAAACTTAGAAGTAATTTATTAGATGCTGTATATCAAAAAACGTTTATATAGATGATTCAACTATATTCCCACCTACACTGAGTTCATCAGTAAAAGTGGTTTTTTTGTGCAATTTATGAAAATACTTTACAATGCTTCATGGATCTGTAATCAGCAAGAGTATCTCAAGTGTGGGACCACAAAATCAATAACACATCAAAAGAAAAATGAAGCAGCAAACGATATTGGCGTTTTTACATATTAACGCTAGTGTTCCATATAATAAAGGTGACCTCAACATCATCAATTATTGTACTCCACTGAGGTCTGAGTAAATTACCATAAACAAATACAGAATAGCATTAGCATTTAGCCTTGTAACAGTCAGGAAGGCATTCTATAAACTTCAATTTGAGTCACTTGCTATTAATGTTACTTTGATAATCTAAGACTGAAAAACAGAGAAAAAAGTATTTTCCAACACATTTGGATTTAGGGACCGATATAAGCAATAAAGTTTTGCTATTTCATTTCACCTTCAGCCATCATTGACATGGGGGTATATTTGACATCTCTATCTAGATTCCCAAGACTCTTGTCTCATTTGTATAATCATGGTATCCAGTGGGAAGTATGAACAGCAAAATGTGGGGCAAGCTTCCTACTTTTATGTATCGTAGTGGGGTAACACAGTCTTCCTTTTATGGTTAGGCTTTCCTGAAGATCCTTTTTGATTTATTCTTAAAGATGGTGCTGGGGATTGTGGTATTTCTAACTATAGCCAACTGCCCTCCCCTAAGCAACCAAATGTTTCCAGATAATCATTGGTGCTTCTGTTCTCTAGCTGTATCTAAACTACATTTTCAGGTACCACTGAGATTAAGTACATTTGTGCATGGCATTCTGTGTCAAAAATACAAAACTACACCTGGGACATAATATTATAGCCCAGCGGTTCCCAAACTATGTGCCTGTGTGACAGGCACACAGGGGTCGCCGCAATATGTTTACCCGGTGCTATGATCAAATGATCATAGCACCGCGAACTGTGCCTCCCTCTCCCCTGCTGGCTCTGCCGGACCAGAGGGGAGATCAGAGATATCCCTCTCCAGCCCGCTAGCAGTGTAATGCGGGAGGGAGGGAGGATCCAGGGAGCTCTAATCTGCAGCTCCGCCGGGTTCTCCTCTTGCTAACGCGGAGCGTTGCCGCGGTTACCATGGCAATGCTCTGAATCTCGTGAGAATGAACTCTAGCAGCTCCTGAGGCTGCTAGAGTTCACGCTCACCACTGGGACCACCATGGCTTCCCCACTGGACCACCATGGATTGCACTGTCCCCCCTCCCAGGCAAAAGTAAGAAGGGATATGAAAAAATTTATTTTTAATTAAAAATGTTTTATATATATTTATTTGCCCTCCTACCCCCACAGAGAGACAATAAATCTCACACACACACACACTGCTCCCCCATACACAAACACAATCCTCCCATGAATAGACACTGCCCCTTATAAAAAAACTCTACCCCCCATATTCACACACTTCCCCTCTGTACACGCACACTGCCCCTCTAAACACACAAACTGTGCCCCCCCACACACACTGCCCTCCAGCACAGACTGCACCACCACACACACATACTGTACCCCTCACGCAACCTGCCCCCCCACATACACTGTACTCCTCACACAACCTGCCCCCACACACACTGTACCCCTCACACACACACTGCCCCCCCACACACTCTCACGCACAAACTGCCCCACATAGACGCACACTGCACTCCTCACGCACACAATACATCCTTCACAAATACAATGCACCCCTGTACACTCACTGCAACACACACACACACATATTTCACTCCTCACACACACTATGCCTATCCCCTCCTGCAGTTGTCAAACTGTTCTTAAACTGTTTGAGTAATTACTCTGGGAGGGCACTACTGGCACCATAACCACTACAAAGTGCTATAGTGATTATTGGGCCTGGATTGTTTCTTTAACCCCTTAAGGACAGAGCTTCAAACGCTTGTCTTTCACTTAATGACAACAGCATTTCTTTTTCATTTTTTGCTGTTTGCGTTCAACTGCAATTTGCATTTTACTAATTTGCTGCACCAACACATATTATACAAAGTTTTTTAAAGGACAGAAAGGGCTTTAATTTGATGTAACACACATATATATAAATGCTTATTTATTATAAAAAAAATACAGAAAAATGTAAAAGAAATGAAAATTTTGTGGTTTTTTTTACAGTTTTTGCAATAATAATGTGTGCATAATTAGTGCAGGTTAAGAAAAGTAATTACAAATCAATTTATTTAGTTGTTCTGATTTACAGAATATATAATGTGTCTGGGATTTTAACTTTTTTTTGGTAGTTACAGGTAACAAAGCACAAGGAGTAAAATAGACTTTTAATGTGGAGCGATTTTAGAATTTGGTATGTTTGTCTTGTAAGCTTAATAGCCATAAAAGAAAACAAAATTGCCACACAAAAGTATATATTTATATAAAGTAGACATCACAGGCTATTTACCTAAGGTTGTTTTGACACTTTCTACGTAGCCATTTCACCGCCAACCTCTGCTAAATATTGGAGTAAAATTGTGTTTTTTTTGTTTTTTGGCACACAAACTTATAACAAAGAAATTCTCGTGTATATTTTGTAAAGTTGGTGTGTGCTATTCCTGTACAAAGTTTTATTTTGTGTTCAGTTACATCTGCTGAGTAAAATGACACCCCCATTGTATGTCTTTTGCACTATTTCGTGAAGTTACAGTGCCATACAGGATACCTGTCCTTTTCAGTATTCACAGTAGAATTTTGAGAGATGGATTTAATGAGCCTTAGCTTCCATTTGGGGTATTATAACAGTTTGACTGTTCAAAAAACCCCCACAAAGGCCTACCATTTGTAAAAGTAGACACTCCAGGGTATCTTATAAGGTGCATATTGTGCCTTAACATGCCCCCATTTTTTCACCAATATATGCCAAAGTATGTGGTAAAAAATAATTTTGTGCATTTTTTACATACGGATTGCATTTTTGCTGGGCGTTTTGTATATTTCATATGTGCCACTAAGTTCAAACCTCCCAAATTATGCTCAGCTAAGTCTTCTGAGTAAAAAGACACCCCCAATGAATGTCTTTGGCACTATTTCGTGAAGCTACAGTGCCATATAGGAGACCAAGCCATATCCGTTTTTACCAGACTTTGAATTTTGACGCTGGGCCTATGTGCAATTTCCAAGCATTTTCGCAGGTTTTAAATTCACACTACCCCACAAAGGCCTACCATTTCTTAAAGTAGACACCCCAGGATGTTTCAAAAGGTATATTTTGAACCTTAGTGTGGGATCATTTTTCCGCTAGCTTGTACCAGATGTAGTGGTAATAAGCGTTTTTTCTGCCTTTTTGACATACAAAGTGAGTTTGCACAGTATATTTTGCAAACCTTATGTGTGCTACAACTGTATAATACTTCATATGTTGCTCAGCTATGTCGGCTGAGTACAGCAATACCCCCGTATGTACCTTTGCCAGGTATGTGTGGACATCGGAGGGGCACATTTGGGACACAGCCATTCCAGTTTTTTTCAAACTTTGAATTTTTATGCTGTGCCTATGTCCCATTTTAGAGTATTTTACCAGGCTATATAATCCAAATACCCCATAAAGCCATACCATTTCTTAAAGAAGACATCCCAGGGTATTTCAAAAGGCATATTTTGAACCTTAGCGTGGGATCATTTTTCCGCTAGCTTGTACCAAGTGTAGTGGTAATAAGCATTTTTTCTGCCTTTTTGACATACAAAGTGAGTTTGCGCAGCATATTTTGCAAACCTTATGTGTGCTATGACTGTATAATACTTCATATGTTGTTCAGCTATGTCGGCTGAGTACAGCAATACCCCCGTATGTACCTTTGCCAGGTAAATGTGGATGTTGAAGGGGCGCATTTGAGATGCAGCCATTCAGTTTTTTTCTAACTTTGAAGTTTTACGCTGTGTCCATGTTCCAATTTGGAGTAGTTTAGACAGTTGGTTATTGAACCTTCCCCACAAACACATACTATTTATTAAAGAATACACTCTGGGGTAATTCAAAAGGCATATTTTGAACCTTGGCGTGGGATAATTATTTCTCTAGTTTGTTCCAGGTGTAGTGGTAATGAGTGTTTTTAAAATGTATTTTTTTTCTTTTTTTACTTTTTTACTTTTAAAAACTAGTTTGTAAACTTTTGTTTTGCTTATTCATTTTTTTAAACTTTCTTAACTTTTTTACAGATGTAACATTTTTCTAAGCTTTTTTTTGTTTTTTTTTGTTTTTTTTACTGTTAACCCCTAACTAGCAGTAGGCAGCACTAACAGTAAATTCCCCATTTTCTCATAACTCCCACCCATCCCAGGTAGCAAAATATATAAAATATTAGTCAGTGATCAATTGGCAGGGAAGGGGTTAATTTTTTATTAAAATGGGTAAAGGGGGGGTGGGACTTTGAATTAACTTTTTTTTTTTTACAGCAGGGGGCAGGGTCAGCACTGTTCCGGCTCCCTGCACTTCACACAGAACCAGGAAGTGCAGGGAGCCGGAAGGTAAGTATACAGAGCACATGTGCTCGCTCTGACTTGCGGTCAGAGTGAGCACATGTGCTGGGCAGCCTGACCGGGTGCTGCAGAGGCATACCGGAGCACCATTAACCGGCTATCCGGGGTTAATTTTACCGCGTGATGGACGAGGTCCGTCACTCGTCATT